AGAAATAACAAAGCTTTACAGAGGTACGCGACTGCAAAATCTTATCTTCAACGCTTAGAAGTTGTTAAGATTAAGGACAACTTTTCAGGCGGTGCTTATGGTATTGTTGACACCTCAGGAGAAGTTTGGCGTGATCAAAGACGATTTGCGCTACATGTTCTAAAAGATCTCGGTCTCGGCAGTGATGGAATGGAACAGAGGGTAAAAAATGCCCTAACTTTACCTTATTGCATTTGCATTCAATACAGATACTAACTGCACGGCAAACATCTCCGCAAAGGTGGACTAACCCCCAAAAATTCTAATTGAGACTACTCTAAATAATCCTGGGCCATTTTTATTGAAATTTCACCAAACTTATTCTTACAGCCAATAACGAGTGAACATTATCGGATGTGCTGAACGTGAATGACACAAATAGAAAGAAATGCACAACTCTCACTGTAGAGCTAGGTATACTATAGATAGAACTCTTAGTTTTTCCCCTCAAACTTCCCAATAAAATTGTTTCTGCAGAATTCGTACACAACATACACATTCTGTTTCGTTCCTTGAAATATGCCGAGCTCACCGCTTGTACAACCTCTTGTAATTTTATACCTATACAAATTAGCAGGATATATCGAAATCTGAAAATCTACAGTTGAGATTTTCACGATCAACAGTACTATTCTACAACTACTGTATGCTTATCGTAGCTCTTTAGTTAGACAGTATGTGGGTATAATTGAAGTCAATGTGTCTGACCTTTATGCTAAGCCGTTAGCCATACAATGAGCTGGGTGAAGAATTCAGATGAGCTACCCACGTGGTTCCAGCAGCTTACCAAAATCTTTGATGTAAATGAAATTAACTAAAATGTGCTTTACGTTCGGCATTTTGCCATACATCAGCATTAGTGAATTATATTTCACATCGTTTTTTGTATATTGGCGATATCTGAAGTCCATAACTGAAATTTTGTTTATACTCAAAATTTATAGTTTACCACAAAAAAGGAGTAGTTGCGAAATAAACATGGAGTCCATACAGTATACATTGGACCAAATCAAATAAAAATTAATTTTTCTGCATAAATATTCATTTTCGAATTGAATGAGACCAATACTCAAACATTATCATTTGAATGAAAATTGCAGCTTACATTTAGAATAAGTTGTTCTTAAAATATTTGAAATTTTCATTTTATCCATATAAGTAGGATCGAAGACAGTAGATTGAAATTTTCAACATAAAATTGTCTTGTTAAACTGTATGTGACCTTGAACCTTTACGATTCAGGTACTTATGGAAATGGAAGCGTTAACTGATGCTTTAGAAGCGCAGCAAGGAAAGCAAGTCAATTTACAGGTGCCTTTTATAATTTCTCAACGTATTACTCTATTCTCTGCAAAAACCAGTTATCCATCGCAAATTTCAG